GTACGCGGGCCTCTCACTGTTGTGGCCTCTTCCGTTGCGGAGCACAGGCTCCGGACGCGCAGGCTCAGCGGCCATGGCTCACGGGCCCAGCCGCTCCGCGGCATGTGGGATCTTCCCGGACCGGGGCACGAACCCGTGTCCCCTGCATCGGCAGGCAGACTCTGAACCACTGCGCCACCAGGGAAGCCCTGGATGCATTTTTTAATGACCAATGTGCCAGTTTTTTCTTCTTGTTTTACGGGGCTGTCACCCCCTACCCTGCATCTAAAATATTGCTCACACTACTTACTTGGCTTTCTAGGCACCTTGCATTTTAACTAAAATGACCATATAATTTACTGTCCAAACTCAGGTATTTTTGGAGGATGGGGGTACTATTAACAATTATGCCAGGATAGCAGGCATAACTGATTATTGTAACTGATCATTTTATGTATCTATCCTACCTTATCATCTAGATTGTGGACTCTGACCAGGCAGAGATGTGCTTTACACATCTTTTTGCTTCTAGTCAACCCAGTGCCTGCTCCATGAAAAATCGTAAATAAATCTTTGATAAATAATAATAACAAAGCAGTGATGATGATAATTATTTTAAATCAGATTATACAATGGGGTAGATTTTCAGACTCACCCAAATACAGGTGCCGGCACTTTCTCACACCATCAAACCCTTGAGGTGACCAGGACCTCACCCCTTTGTTTTGGTGGGATTCACAGATTTGTAAATTGAAGTGGGGTGCATCCCTTTACCAACACATTCTCATCCTTCTTAACTTCTCTTTCCTCCCCAATTCTTCTAAGCCAGGTGACCCTCATTTCATGGAGGTGGGAGGAGAGAGGGACCATGTTTATGGCCTCTCTTCCTTTTGTCTTTCTTTTTGTAACACACACACACACACCCCAAGCAAAAACAAACAAACAAAACCCCCAGCTTTATTGAGATATAATTCACATACCAGTCTCTTTGGGTAAAGTATACGGTCCACAGAGCTGTGCGTTCATCATCATCATCGACTTTAGAACATTCTTGTTACACCTATTTGAAATCCTGCATTCCTTACTCCCTAATCTCTCCATCCATTTCCTAGACAATCACTCATGTATTTTCTGTCTCTACAGATAATGACTATTCTGGATATTTTATATAAATGAAATTGTACAGTATGTCGTTCTTGTGACTGGCTTCTTTCACTTAGTTTATTGTTTCCAAGTCTCATCCATGTTGTAGCATGTATCAGTACTTTGTTTCTTCTTATTGTCAAATAATATTTCGTTGAATGGATATACCACATTTTGTTTATCCATTAATCTGTTGGCAGGCCCTTGGGTTGCTCCACCTTTTGGCTACTATGAGTAATGTTGCTTTGAACGTGGGTGGACAAATATCTACCTGAGTCTCTGCTTTCAGTTCTTTTGGGCATATATCCAGAAGTGGAATTGCTGGATCATATATTAATTCTATGCTTATCTGAGGAACCACCATCCTGTTTTCCACAGTGGCTGTGCCATTTTACGTTCCCACCAACAACGCACAAAGGTTCTAATTTTTCCACATCCTTGCCAGTATTTGTTGTTGTATTTCTTTTTTATTATAACCATTCTAGTGTGTGTAAACTAGTATCTTACTGAGGTTTTGGTTTGCATTTCCTTAATAGCTAATGATGTTGAGCATCTTTTTACATGCTTGTTGTCCATCCGTATACATTCTTTGGAGACAGGTCAGTTCAGATCCTTTGCTCATTTGTTGTTTGGGTTGTCTTTTCATTATTGGGTCTTTTTCTAATCTACTCATAATGCAGATGTGAATTCTTTATAAATCTGATGAATCTTCACCTTCAAAGCCTCTCATTTACAGGAGCCCCCTTCTAAGACCTCTGGTGGTTTCTAGCAATGTGTTCATATAAACATATGTTTTAACAAAATTTGGGGAAAATTGTTTTTAAACAGGAATTGTTAAGATTGCTTTCTCTTTTCACTTTGACTTCCCTTCAGTGACACTTCCCTTCAAGTTGATTGGTGTTAGGGAGGCAACAGACATTTTGTATTAATAATTTTATATATTTTTTCTTAAAAAGGACACCTAAATTATATAACTTTGGACTTCACAAAACCAGAATCTGCCTCTACCCATATATAATAAATCTAAGTCCGACTCTCCTGAGAGCCTTCTCTTTTGATCTCAAATGCCTACTTTAGAAGTAGCAACAAAATCCTCTGCACAAAATTTTTCCTTCCTTCTGGCAAATTTCTACTACGGGGAAATGTCATTCTCATTCAGGTATGTGGTGGCCTCTGACTACTTACAGAAGAGTTAGTAAGCAGTACTGTAGAATGCTCTCGTTTGATTTCTCCTCTCCTTTCAGCCCCTGTCATCACCACTCCTCTTGAAACAGTGGATGCCTTAGTTGAAGAAGTGGCTACTTTCATGTGTGCAGTGGAATCCTATCCTCAGCCTGAAATTTCCTGGACCAGAAATAAAATTCTCATTAAGTAAGTATTCTGCCTTTTACCAGCAAGAATGCCCAAGGCTGCCTTGTGATTTATCTTTGTCATAAATGTAATCACAGCTCTGGCAGTACTAAAGTTCACCTTCTAGAATACGTAAAATGCAAATTTCCTCATTTTATAAATGTAAGATCTGAACTTCAGTGAGGTTGAGAGAACTGCCCAACATAAAGTGATTTAACTGATATGGGGAAGTCAGGGTTATTTCATGGATCCCAGGTTAGGACCTAGAAGAAGTTTCACAGTAATTAGGAAACACCATGATATCCGAATTCTGGGGGTACATGTTCCAGGACACTCTGGGGAGTTAATAGGGACCAGCCTCATTTCCTGTACTTCTAATATCCCAATCAAGTGATGCATGTGGTCTAGGAATCTGACCTCTAGGTGACCATGACTTTTTCTTTTGAAAGTCAGAAAGGACTCTTGATGTATATAGTGAGGTAGCCTCTCAAACAGATAAAATTTCTACTTGGCACATAAAGGTTGGGCTATCCTTTCCCCATTACAATAGCTATCTGATCAAAAATACTCTAAAAATCTGTAACAAATATAACCACTGGCTTTCTAGCAGGCCACATAGCTTGCCTTAGGACTAGAGCATTAAACTCCTCCACAAACTTGAACTTGAACTCCACATCCATTAACTTGGATGGGGAAAAATTACATCTTTGTTTTCACTAAGCTCCAATTGAAATTTATCATTTCCTTCTACTATATATGTTGTAATGTGGGAAACTATCCTGGGCTGCAGAAGCCTTCAAGTACTCTACCAGGCAAGCTATCCCAGAAGTCCTGGAATAGGAAGGCTCAAAGAGCAAATTAAGATGCCTGAAATACAGTTTATTAAATAAATTTAAAATACATAGATAGAGAAAGGAATGGAAACTACCAGAGGGTTTCTATAGGTGTGCGCTCTGTTCGCGATGTTCCTGTTTGGCTGAACGCTTCCCTAAGCCGTGTGGCTGACAGGGTCTTGGTGCTCTGGCCTGTTGTGCTGAGTTCAGGACATTGCACCACCAGAGACCTCCAGGCCCCATGTAATATCAATTGGCGAGAGGTCTCCCAGAGATCTCTGTCTCAGTGCTAAGACCCAGCTCCACCCAATGTCCAGCAAGCTCCAGTCTGGATACCCCATGCCAAACAACTAGCAAGACAGGAACACAAGCATACCCATTAGCAGGGAGGCTGCCTAAAGTCACACTAAGTTAACGACACCCCAAAACACACCACTGGACACAGCCCTGCCCAACAGAAAGACAAGATCGAGCCCCATCCACCAGAACACAGGAACCAGTCCCCTCCACCAGGAAGCCTACACAAGTCACTGAACCAACCTTACCGACTGGGGGCAGACACCAAAAGCAACGGGAGCTACGAAACTGCAGCCTGTGAAAAGGAAGCCCCAAACACAGTAAGTTAAGCAAAATGAGAAGACAGAGAAATATGCAGCAGATGAAGGAGCAAGGTAGAAACCCACCAGACCAAACAAATGAAGAGGAAATAGGCAGTCTGCCTGAAAAAGAATTCAGAGTAATGATAGTAAAGATGATCCAAAATCTTGGAGATAGAATGGAGAATATACAAGAAACATTTAACAAGGAACTAGAAGTACTAAAGAGCAAACAAACAGTGATGAACAACACAATAAGTGAAATTAAAAATTCTCTAGAAGGAATCAGTAGCAGAATAACTGAGGCAGAAGAACGGATAAGTGACCTGGAAGATAAAATAGTGGAAATAACTACTGCAGAGCAAAATAAAAAAAAAACGAATAAAAAGAACTGAGGACAGTCTCAGAGACCTGTGGGAAAACATTAAATGCTCCAACATTCAAATGATAGGGTCCCAGAAGAAGAAGAGAAAAAGAAAGGGTCTGAGAAAATATTTTAAGAGATTATAGTTGAAAACTTCCCTAACATGGGAAAGGAAATGGTCAAGTCCAGGAAGCACAGAGAGTCCCATACAGGGTATTTCCAAGGAGAAACATGCCAAGACACATATTAATCAAACTATCAAAAATTAAATACAAAGAAAAAATATTAAAAGCAGCAAGGGAAAAGCAACAAATAACATAAAAGGAATATGCATAACGTTAACAGCTGACCTTTCAGCAGAAACTCTGCAATCCAGAAGGGAGTGGCAGGACATATTTAAAGTGATGACAGGGAAAAACCTACAACCAAGATTACTCTACCCAGCAAGGATCTCATTCAGATTCAACGGAGAAATTAAAACCTTTACAGACAAGTAAAAGCTAAGAGAATTCACCACCAGCAAACAAGCTTTACAGCACATGCTAAAGGAACTTCTCTAGGCAGGAAACACCAGAGAAGGAAAAGGCCTAGAAAAACAAACCCAAAACAGTTAAGAAAATGGTAATAGGAACATATATATTGATAATTACCTTAAATATAAATGGATTAAATGCTCCAACCAAAAGACAAAGACTGGCTGAATGGATACAAAAACAAGACCCATTATGTGCTGTCTACAAGAGACCCACTACAGACCTAGGAACACATACAGACTGAAAGTGACGGGATGGAAAAAGATATTCCATGCAAATGCCAATCAAAAGAAAGCTGGAGTAGCAATTCTCATATCAGACAATATAGACTTTAAAACAAACACTTTTACAAGAGAAAAGAAGGACACTACAGAATGATCAAGGCATCAATCCAAGAAGAAGATATAACAATGGTAAATATTTATGCACCCAACATAGGAGCACCTCAATACATAAGGCTAATGCTAACAGCCATAAAAGGGGAAATCAACAGTAACACAATCATAGTAGGGGACTTTAACACCCCACTTTCACCAATGGACAGATCATCCAAAATTAAAATGAATAAGGAAACACAAGCTTTAAATGACACATTAAATAAGAGGGACTTAATTGATTTTTATAGGACATTCCATCCAAAAACAACAGAATAGACTTTCTTCTCAAGTGCTCATGGAACATTCTCCAGGATAGACCATATCTTGGGTCACAAATCAAGCCTTGGTAAATTTAAGAAAATAGAAATCCTATCAAGCATCTTTTCTGACCATAATGCTATGAGAATAGATATCAATTACAGGAAAAAATCTGTAAAAAATACAAACACATGGAGGCTAAACAATACACTACTTAATAACAAAGTGATAACTGAAGAAATCAAAGAGGAAATCAAAAAATACCTAGAAACAAATGACAATGAAAACATGAGAATCCAAAACCTACGGGATGCAGCAAAAGCAGTTCTAAGAGGGAAGTTTATAGCAATACAATCCTACCTCAAGAAACTAGAAACATCTCAAATAAACGACCTCACCTTACACCTAAAGCAATTAGAGAAAGAAGAACAAAAAATCCCCAAAGTTAACAGAAGGAAAGAAATCATAAAGATAAGATCAGAAATAAATGAAGGAAACAACAGCAAAGATCAATAAAACTAAAAGCTGGTTCTTTGAAAAGATAAACAAAATTGATAAACCACTAGCCAGATTCATCAAGAAAAAAAAGGGAGAAGACTCAAATCAACACAATTAGAAATGAAAAAGGAGAAGTAACAACTGACACTGCAGAAATACAAAGGATCATGAGAGATTACTACAAGCAGCTATATGCCAATAAAATGGAAAACCTAGAAGAAATGGACAAATTCTTAGCAAAGCACAACCTTCCAATACTGAACCAGGAAGAAACAGAAAATATAAACAGACCAATCACAAGCACTGAAATTGAAACTGTGATTACAAATCTTCCAACACACAAAAGCCCAGGACCAGATGGCTTCAGAGGCGAATTCTATCAAACATTTAGAGAAGAGCTAACACCTATCCTTCTCAAACTATTCCAAAATATAGCAGAGGGAGGAACACTCCCAAGCTCATTCTAAGAGGCCACCCTCACCCTAATACCAAAACCAGACAAAGATGTCACAAAAAAAAAAACTACAGGCCAATATCACTGATGAACATAGATGCAAAAATCCTCAACAAAATACTAGCAAACAGAATCCAACATCACATTAAAAGGATCATACACCATGATCAAGTGGGGTTTATCCCAGGAATGCAAGGATTCTTCAATATATGCAAATCAATCAACGTGATACACCATATTAACAAACTGAAGGATAAAAACCATATGATCATCTCAACAGATGCAGAAGAAGCTTTTGACAAAACTCAACACCCATTTATGATAAAAAACCCTCCAGAAAGTAGGCATAGAGGGAACTTACCTCAACGTAATAAAGGCCATATATGACAAGCCCACAGCCAACATCATTCTCAGTGGTGAAAAACTGAAACCATTTCCTATAAGATCAGGAAAAAGACAAGGTTGCCCACTCTCACCACTGTTATTCAACATAGTTTTGGAAGTTTTAGCCACAGCAATCAGAAGAAAAAGAAATAAAAGGAATCCACATCGGAAAAGAAGTAGAGCTGTCACTGTTTACAGATGACATGATACTACACAGAGAGAATCCTAAAGATGCTACCAGAAAACTACTAGAGCTAATCAATGAATTTGGTAAAGTAGCAGGATACAAAATTAATGCAAAGAAATCCCTTGCATTCCTATACACTAATGATGAAAATATGAAAGAGAAATTAAAGAAACACTCCCATTTACCACTGCAGCAAAAAGAATAAAATACCTAGGAATAAACCTACCCAAGGAGACAAAAGACCTGTATGCAGAAAACTATAAAACACTGATGAAAGAAATTAAAGATGATACAAACAGATGAAGAGATATACCACGTTCTTGGATTGGAGGATTCAGCATTGTGAAAATTACTATGCTACCCAAAGCAATTTACAGATCCAATGCAATCTCTGTCAAACTACCAATGGCATTTTTCACAGAACTAGAACAAAAAATTTCACAATTTGTATGGAAACACAAAAGACCCCGAATAGCCAAAGCAATCTTGAGAAAGAAAAATGGAGCTGGAGGAATCAGGCTCCTGACTTCAGACTAT